CTCCCTAAAGTCTAGAGGCAAATGGCTTACACAAGGCAGAGGTGAGGTCTGGAAAAGGGCTCCTCAAAGAAATGACCAAAGGGGTGTGGCCAGCCATCAGCATCCCATTCTCGGGTCCAATCAGAAATGGGTTCTGGTCCCCCTTGATACAGATCTGCTAATCCACAGCTTTGGCAATCACTTAGCTAAGCCTGACCTTGGAAACTAAAGTCTAGAGGCAAATGGCTTACACAAGGCAGAGGTGAGGTCTGGAAAAGGGCTCCTCAAAGAAATGACCAAAGGGGTGTGGCCAGCCATCAGCATCCCATTCTCGGGTCCAATCAGAAATGGGTTCTGGTCCCCCTTGATACAGATCTGCTAATCCACAGCTTTGGCAATCACTTAGCTAAGCCTGACCTTGGAAATCTCAAACTTTGGGTTTTTTCAGCCCTAAGTCTATGGACAAAAACTTTTGGATGTTGCTCCTTCTTATTCCTATGGCACATTTACACAGCAGTGTGGTTATGGGTCCCAGTGACTGTGATGGGAGGCACTGTCCTTCGGAGTTCCTCCCAGAGACTGGGAGTGGTGCTGCCATCTTTTTCCCACTCCTGGCTCCACTTATTGGCTGTTGGCATGGTTACGGCAAATCTTCAATGTTCCTCTGGTCCCAGCAGGGAGTTTCCTCTTCCAGAGGAGAGATAAACACCTCTGATCCTAGGAGTAGAGCTTGATTAAGAAAGGAGCTTTAGGCTATTCCAAGCCAACCCTTCCTGGTAGGGTGATGGGGAAGTGGCTCCGAGCACTGCAGTTCCTTCCCTGGCCCTTCTGGCTGGAGCTGTGGCACCATGATCACAGGGAAGCTCTGTCCCCAGAGCTGCCATTGGCCAGGAATCACAGCCAATAGGAGCTGCAGGAGGGTGGTGCTTGGAGGAGAACACACCAAAAATCATGGTGTGACGGGGCAGCCCCGCCCGCGGCGGAGAGCCCCGTCTCGGCCGCCCTGTACAGCGGGAGGCCGGGCGCCCCCCGCCGCTGCCCACGCTGT